TTAAAAATAGCCAGGCTTGGTAGCACATGCCTATAGTCCCAGCTACTTGGGAGGCTGAGGAAAGAGGATCACTTGAACCCAAGAGGTTGAGGCTGCAGTGAGTTGTCATCATGCCACTACACTCCAACCTGGTCAAGAGGGACCCAGACTCAAAGAAAAAAACAAATGCCTCACATTGCCAATTACTAAGATGCATATGTGTGAATACTCCATAAGGCCAAGTAGAGAAAAATGAGCAAACAAACCAAACAAAAACTAGTGGAAAACAGTGACTAGTCCACCCATCTCTGTAGAGAATATGTTCCAAGACTTTCGGTGAATGCCTGAGACTTCTAATATGGAACCCAATTGCCCTCCTTCGGAACACATTTCTGTTCATGTCTTGCCCACAATTCAAGACAACCCTTGTCACTCAGTGGCTGTAACTCTTGCAGTTTGAGATGCAACAATTAAACTAGCACAGATTTATTTTTCTTTCTTCACAGTTTCACAGATAGGAGAGTCATTCTAACCATAATCTTAGCAACTTCATTATACAATTTTTTATTTCCTTCTTGAGTCAAGAACTCTCATCTTTTCACTTATAGGAAGCCCTTTATGAGCCTATCCAAACTGCCAGCATCACTACTCTTGTGTTTGAGTGCTGTTATTAAAATAAGAATTACTTGAAAACAAGCACCATGACAGCTGATCTGATAACCGAGATGGCTACTAAGTAAAGAGGGTGGGTAGCAGAATCAACGTGGATCTCCTGTACAATGGGAGGAGTCAAATTCCAGAGTAGGACAGTGCCAGATGTCACCATGCTTCTCAGAATGCCATGCAATATAAAATTTAAAAATTGTTTAATTCTAGAACTTTCCATTTGATATTTTCAAACTATGGTTGATAATGAGTAACTGAAACAATGGATAACCACTTTAGGTGGTTTTTCTTTTTGAGAAACTTGCCAGTGGCAGATCTTTTTGCCATGAACCAATCTACCTTTATCCTTCACTTCTTTGCACTAATAAACTTTTAACACACACACACACACACACACACACACACACACACACACACACACGTATGACTATTTTAAAGCAAACTGTAAGCTGAACAATCTTCAGAGCTTGCCCAAGGCTGGAAGACATCTGAGTTCTGGTGATCCAGGATGTTGATACCTCAATGATCTTCAGAATATCCACGTAGAGACATCAGAAATATCATGCCTCAGTTGTAAAGCTAAATTAAAGCTGAAGGTTCACTCCAGCAAAGTTTAAAAACTAGCATGAAAAAAAAAAACAAGCTGATAATCAAATTCAGTTGACCCTTGAACATGAGAGCTAGAGGCAACAATTCCCATGCTGCTGAAAATCTAAGTATAACTTTTGACTCTCCAAAATGTTACTTACTAATAGCCTGTTGACCAGAAGCCTTACTCATAACATACACAGTCCATTAACACATATTTTGCAAGTTTATAAGTATTATATATTCTTATAATAAAGCTACCTAAAATACTGAGAATCATAAGGAAAATACATTTATAATACTATACTATATCAATAATGTAACCATGTGTTTACAACAGGAATAGTCTACAATGGAAGTCAACCACAGATGCAGACCGCAATCTATGGTGCATATCAAGTAATTCAGCTTTTTCTTGTAATGCCATGACTCTTCTCTGTTTTTTGAGAGCACTTCCTTCCTATGGGTTCCATTGTGTTATTATTCAGTTTATGGTATTGCACTGTACAAGAAAAAATACTCGAGAACTTTGAGATTACTTTTTATTGCAACATGCAATGTACTGGAGAGACAAACTGCTCACTTGGAGATGACTGGTGCCACATAGTGTTTTAAGCAAATACGCTTCAGCTTAACACAACAGCAACAAGAAGTGACTACAAAAAAGAGCAGTACAATATGCACCATAGTTACTTTTATAGTTACAATTTAATCTCATCTTTACATCTGTTTGCATTTCTCTCAGCTACAAATGGGGTGCCATCTGTGGCATTTGTAGGTGTAAGTTTCAATGAATTGCAAAAAATAATAGATTTGTATATATTTTATGTACTAAATTGTAAATTAGACTAATATCTACATGTTTTGTGCATTCATGTCACATTTTTTAGAATTTTTTTCAATAGTTCTAAGCTTCATAGCTCTTCTATGAGTTTTTTTCAAATTATCACAAATCTCTAAAAAAATTTTCCTATGTTTATTGAAAAAAATCCACATATACATGAACCTGTGAAGTTCAGACCCATGTCGTTCAAAGGTCAACTGTAACTGTCTGCAAAAACAAAGTGCAACATTAAAAAAAAAAAGCATTCAGACTCTTAATAATGTAACATTACAATGTAATACTCAAAACAGCCAGAATCCAATAAAAATTAAGGCATATACAAAAAGGCAAGAAATGTGACCCACAACCAGGAAAAATATCAGTCAACAGAAATAGAGCAAGAAATGAAAGATATAATGAAATTTGCAAAGACTTCAAAAGAGTAATTATAAATATGTTCAAAAGATTTAAAGAATAACATGAGAAATGCAAAATATACAAAAGAAGCAAATGAAACTTTCAGAGCTAAAAAGTTCAACATTTAAAATGTACATTTCATTGGATAGTTTTAAGAGATTAGACTGTGTGGAAGAAAAAAATGGTGAACTTGAAGGCAACAGAAACTACCTCAACTGTATAACAGAGAAAAAAAGTCTAGAAAAAAGAGACTGTGACTTATTGGACACTACCAAGCAGTCAAACAGTGATGTATCTAGAGTCTCAGAGGAGGAATCAGATTATTTGAATGACTAAATTTTTCCAAATTTAATAAAATATATAAACCTATAAACCCAAGAAGTATAGCAAACCCAAAGTAGTATAAAGCAGAATAAAACACTCATATACAAAATCACACCAAGACATATCCTAAACAAACTGCTGGAAACTAGTCATAAAGAGAAATCAGGTATTTTAAAAGTTGCCATAGGAGAAAAATAAAGCAAAAAGTATAGTGAAAAAAGAATAGAATGATTGCAGGTTTCTCTTTGGAAACAATGTACTCTAGAAGACAAAACAAAATACAGACAGGAAAAAAAAAGGGTTAATGTACAATTCCAAATCCATTGAAAATGTTTTCACAAAATAATGCAAAAAAAGACATCTTTTGGCTTAAAAAAAAAAAAAAAATCTCAAAATCCCTGAGAGAATTCACCATCAATTCTACACCTGGACACTTTTTATTTATAAGGCACTCTCAAGCTTCCTGTACTATTACAAGATAACTGTTGTTGGAAAGTTCTTCATATGGAACTAAAATGTCTTTCAACCTATATTCATTAATCCTGCACTTACATTCCATAGAGTTCTCAAACTTAGGTACGCATCAGAATCACCTGGTGGGTGTGGTACAACACAACGACTATTGAGGTCTATCTCAACATTTCCAATCCCCTAGGTCTGATGGGACCCGAAAGCCGGCATTTCTAGTCCTCAAGGGTTACAGGTGCTAATCCAGGAGGAACTCTGCTCTGAGAAGTACTGCCCTAGAGAAATTACATGACTACCCATGCTTCCTAGTACGTCATTTTAAACACTGAAGACAGTCACACTTTTCACTTTTTTTCCAAATTAAGACATTCTTAGCTTTCCCAGACCTTACCTTCCCAGTTCTTTTGTTTGAATGTCACTATCTTTCATAATATAGTATACTCCCCAAGTCTGAGACAGCCACTTGGGTCTGACTAGAGCGAAAACATTTTTTTTTTAAAGGCAATCATCGTCTTTCTTGACCTGAACAGTTTTTCATAAATCTATAACCGTGTTAGTTTTTCTTCTGAGTAGCTATGTTGGTCAATTAAACATTTCCTGTTTATCACAAACTGCTTTAAGAATAGGTCTCCCTATAGCCTTATACAAGTAATTTATTTAAACTTAAAACCTTTTATTTTGCCTTACTGGTTTAGCTTTGAGTCCTGCTTCTGCTGCCACAAATTAAAGGAACTATTTGGAGTCAGTCATGGAAATTTTTCAAGAAATGCTTTGTTCCATGAACCAAATTTCTGTGTAAAAAATGTTTCAAAGGACAGGACTAGTGACACAACACTATACCTGTTCAAAGAGTAATTTCTACAATAATATACCTTTGCTTCAGAGCTACATGATGAAAATTCTTCAGGAGCTCCAAGTACTTAAATTAATGAAAACATGTTTATTTCTTATAGTCTAAATCACTGAAATGAAACTGGAGATCTGCAGCCTCAAAAGAAGTAATACCTGCAATTTTCTTCATATCATATTATTATATTTCAGAAGTAATTCTTATATTCCTGAAAAAATATTAATTCTTTGTTGAAAGAAAATATGATTAAAGATAATGATTTGCCAAGCAAAGACCAATATACTTATGACCAAAAATGATAATCTGGAAAATTGAAAGTAATTTTTTCTTTCTTATATGTGAATTTCCCTCAGCAGGTGAGAAAATGGATGAAAGAAAACGGGAGGATCAGCCAGGCTCAGTGGCTCAGCCTGTAATCCTGCGCTTTGGGAGGCTGAGCTGAGTGGATTGCCTGAGCCCGCGGGTTCAAGACCCGCCTGGGCAACTTGGAAAGACCTCATCTGTACAATAAATCAAAAAATTATCCGGGCATGGTAGTGCATGCCTGTAGTTTCAGCTACTTGGAAGGCTGAGGCGGACGGATCGCCGGAGCCCAGCAGGTCGAGGCTGTGGTGGCCGGGAGTGTGCCACTGCACTCCAGTCTGAGTAACAGAGTGAGACTCTAACTCAAAAAAAAAAAAAGAAAAAAAGAAAACAGGAGGATCAACAATGCATACCTGAAAAACAAATGTTTGAATTATATTAAAAATCATTTTCCCAGACTCTGAAGTTTCTAGCTGTGTCTAGACAATATACTTCATTAGAATAGGAGCAATTATTTAACTTAGAAGATAAATAGTTCACAGAAGAATTATCACACACAAAAAACACACACACACACATAAATAAGACATGATCAAGTAAAGTTAGTTTATTTTACCCACAGCTCTTCTAATACAAGCTGTATATAAATGCTAATACTTAGAAATATTTGGAAGAATTACTGATAAAAGTTAGAACATCATGCCTTCCAACCCATCCTCCATGAACTTCTTATAAAGTGCCATAAATTTGGCCACAAATGCTTCCAAGTGATAAATGGCTTTGCTACCCAGTTGTAGACGATGTTCGTAATATGCTGCCATCTGGGCCACTTCCCCTTTCAGTTGTCCATCACAATTATGTAACAGCTCTGAAAGAAGGCCCTAAAGAAAAAAAAACGGTAATTTAAAAAGTAATCACTTAAAAATTTACCTAAACATGCTTTACTTCTCTCACTCACAAAAAGCAAAACTTAAGTTAAATATGCTTTCTCGTATATACGTGAGTTTTCTATTTGTTTATGTGAACTGGAAGTCTTTATCCAAAAGCAAAAGAATTTTGAACTTTTTCCATAATGTAAATGTGGTGGCTATCTACCCCATTCCAATTTCCAAATATTTAACTACACAAGAGTACAAGGGTATTAATATAAAGATGCTTACTGAAGCACTATTTATAATAATAATAATAATAATCTGCAGGCAACCAAAAGCTCTACCAACGGAGTCATTCATATTAAAAAAGTACTATGATAGAGTCAGACAATGGCACAGCATTCATACACTAAAAAGAACGATGCAAATCTGTACTGTGTGTACATGCTATGTTGGATGAAAACAGAGTGCAAAACACTGAGTTTTGTGCAACTACACATACAAACATACTTGTGTCTATGCAAACAGATCACAGGTCTGTGAAAACTGGTTATCCTTGTAATAGAAGGATGGACTTTCACTCTTTGTAAATTTAGTGTCATTTGAATTTTCTCATGTATTATCATGTGACTTTAATAAAAAAAAAAAACAACCAAGAACCCCGAATTTCCTAATATCTAGCCACCAACAAGCCTAGCTCTCTAGGCAGCTGACAGACCCAAGTGAAGCTATGGCTTCAAACACCTCACACAGGCTGGATGCTGCCTCCCTCCCCATGTACACCGAGTCCTGCTGTCTGAAATGTGTGCTCCCAGCTGTTTACGTAGTTTTGTCCTTCTAATCCTCTACGTCACAGTTTGTAACCTCGTCAGAGAAGCCATCACAGGCCTTCCACAGCCCCACCCTCCATTATGACCACTTCCCCTCAGTATTTCCCTGAGAGCACTTACCACGTTCTGAAACCCTCTGATGTCTCTACTTGCTTCCCATTTCATCCCACTAGACTGTAACTTCCCTAAAGGTGGGCCCTCTCCTCTCCAGCATTCCTCTAATGGTACCTAGCACACAGTAGAGGTTGATGAAATAGCTGTGAAATTAATGAGTTGGAGAGGAAGACGTAACAAAATGTCCCGGTACTGTAAAAGCCCTGTGACCAAACACCCAAAGTCCAAATTTTATAGTTATAAATGGTCCAAGATCTGAAATTGAATTACCTTCATTATTATCTCAGGAGGAATACAATGAGTTAGAAGCTCATAGAGCCTTCCACGAACTTCAAGGAGCCTATATAAAACAAAACAATTGATATTTTGTGATGAAAATAAGAGTGACAGAATATAGGCATGAAATATAATGCCACTGCCTACAGAGACAGTAAAAAACAATATGGCAGGGACACAAAGCAGTCCCTGTCATAAACAGAGCAAGACAAGAATTTATAGGTAAGCACAGAACCAGACTAAATATTTCCAAAAGACATATGGGAGAAGAAAAACATATATATGCCATTTTAAAATAGCAAGAAAAAAAAGAGACAACATTCCAAATACACATAAAACAAGTATCTTTATCTATATATACATTTACTTATTCCAAAGGGGGAAAAATGTTCAGCAATTTTTTACTAAAATAATACTAGATATTCTATACTTCAGATAAATCAGGGTAGTAATTTATGAAAGGTTTCCTAAAAGTAGATGAGACTCCTTTCGTAGCCTCCAAGAATATGAAACTCTGGCACATTAAAACTAAATAAAAGTGAAAAAAAGAACCAGAACCATAGAGAAGCATGTTTAGGTATTTTTTTTAAGTACCTGCTAAGTGTAAGACACCATAACAAATAATTTAACTCAGTCCTCATACCAGCTCCATGAGAAAGCATTATCTCCATTTTTTTTTAAACAAAATAACTTAAGTACACTGAGTTTAAGTAATTTGGCAAAACTGACCACAGCAAGCATGATATAAACAGATCTGTCTTACTCCAAAGTCCATACCCTTTCAATGTTGGCCAAAGCACTCATTTAACCCCTTACTCCATACTAGATTCACTGTAATGTACTCTTTTTTTTGAGTTGGAGTTTCACTCTGTCTCTCAGGCTGGATAGCAGTGGCACACCCACGGCCACCCCAGCGTCCATCTGCTGGGCTCTGGTGATCCTTCCACCTCAGCCTTCCAAGTAGCCAGAACTACAGGTATACACTACCTCGCCCAGCTAATTTTTTTTTTTAATTGTAGAGACAAGGTCTCGCCAAGTTGTCTGGGCTGGTCTCAAACCCACGGACTCAGGCAATCCACTCACCTTGGCCTCCCAAAGTGCTGGGATTATAGGCTGAGCCACCGAGCCTGGCCAACTCTTTATTACCCATAACATTTATGCTCTTTTACTGAAACGAACTTGAAGTACAGTAAGGTTAGATTTACATCAAGGTTCATGCAGCTAAGACAGCATTTCAATTCAGGTCTGACTCAAAAGTCAGTGATTTCTCTGACATCTAAAAAATAAAACCTGTCAATTAAAGCATAAGCGATAAAAACAAATGGCATACAGTATGAAGTTATTTTAATATGTGCAATAGCTTATTTCTGAAAAGTTGATTCAGGATATATTTACCTATACAACTGTGATATAACTACATTGTGTGTGGCTCATACACATTAACACGGATCACATACTAGTCTGTGTTAATTTCTAATGTTGCTTAGTTTAAAAAATTAATATATTTTATATTTACTATGTCATTATTTCTTAATAGCTTGCAAGTGATTAAGGTACAAATTCTTCTGTCAGACAAATATGGGTATTCTAGAACTATCTCTGTCTACTAATAACTAAATATCCGTGAATAAGCTACTTAATCTCCCTAAATCTCAGGGTTTTTAATCTACAAAGCAATGATGGCAATAATATTTTCCTCATAGGATTGTTATATGAGTTAAATGAGATAATATAGTATAAACAATGACATCATCACTCACTAAATATTAGCTGCTATTCAAATTAGAAAATTAGGGCTTTTCTAAGATGCATGAAAAGAAAATCTATACTGCAAATATCACAGCACGACCAAGGGTCAAAAATCAGAAGTAGTCATTTGGCACTGTGTGGGCCAAGGATCAGAAAAACACCAGAGTTCCAGTATTTCTGGCCAGCACCACAGCTTTCTGGAACTGAACAATATTTCTTTTTATGTAGCACAATGGAATCAATTCCCACAATTGTTATACGAACAGGAAATAACAGCAGCTTTTCTTGCACAAGTTTATTTATGAGCTGCCAAATTTATTAGGAAAACAAAGAAATCGGTAGCAGCAGCTTCAAGAATTAAGGAAAGCAATAATTCAACTATGTTTTGAAAATGGATGTGATAACTGTCCAAGATTACAACATCGAGTACCTAGATCCCTTCAAAGTGGGACTGCTTTACTCTCACCATATTTTTCTTCTTTAAAATCAGAACAAAAAAGAAAGTCATCTTCAGTATGGAAATATTTTATAAAAGTAAAAGGCTCCTAAGACATGCTTTGTTTAAACTTTATATCTCTCTCTTTTTTTTTTTTTTTTTGAGTTGGAGTCTCACTCTGTAGCCCAGACTGAAGTGCAGTGGCCGCTCCCAGCTACCACAGCCTCTACCTGGTGGGCTGCGGCGATCCTTCTGCCTCAGCCTTCCAAGTAGCTGGAACTACAGGCA